TTTTAAAAAATATTATATTAATAAAAAATGTTAAAAACAGTCTGTGAGGAAACAAGCTACATTTGCTGGGACAAATAATAGAAAAAGCAAAGTAATCAACATTTTTGCCTTTACAAAAAAGAGTAAGAAGAGAAATTAAAGTATTTAGTGTCTTATTCATCCTCATCTAGCTATCTATCATTATAGAGTATTTGATCATTTGATTCTATTGACTAATTCAGATTCACACTAGATCAACTTTCCATTAAAGAAAAGCTCTTCCTATTCCCAATTTTTTTGATTAAAAAAATTATAATGTATATTGTACACTATTATAAGTTTAAGTTTTTTATGTATTTTTTTATATTTATTATAAATATTTTGTAAGAAATAATTTGATAATAAAAAATTAATTGAATAAAAAATTTTATATAATAATATAGGTATTTTGAAAATCTTGACTGTAGAAGCTGCACGACACACATATGTATCGCGATAATTCTTTAAGAAAAAAAGAATTATAAAAAATATATGAAAAGCTAAGTGTTTCAACGCCATTTTACACGTAAATACATACTAATAATTTGAATAAGGATCTAATAGATATCCAAATTTTGCATGGAATAAGTTAATATATACATAGAAGCTATAAATTCAACCAAAAAAAAATGTTGATTTGACAAACTCAAACTATATATTAATACAAATTGGGGAAAAAAAAAAGAGAAAGCAGTTTTAAATTCATGTAACCATTCAACGTTTAAATAGTCTTCTAATAATTTAATAAGAAAATAGCCTAAAACATATATATATATATATATATATATATATATATATATAAACATCGCTTTCTTTTCATACTAAAGAGTTTACATGAACTTTAATCTGCTACAAAAACATGCCTATTTTATTTCTGTTTTTTCAATGTTGAATCAGCTCCAGGTATACTAAAATGTGAAGCCGTTAACACATAATATTCTATATATTTAATGAATTTAAAGGTAAATATAGGTAATTATATTAATTATTTACTTACAAATTGTGAAAAGATAGACCGTGTTATATATGAGCCTGTGTAATGTATGAGCCCAATCATCTAGCTTCTCCTGAATTAAAAAAAAAAAAATTTCCCTTCGTGCTACCAAAGAGATATGTGATGGACAGAGGGAAAAACAAGAAGCTCAATCAAAAACTATTTAGTTCATTAACAGTTGGCCGCACAAAAGGTTCATTAACGAAGAAAGACTTTTGTTCCAACACAAGCCACTCCAGTTGAAAGGCAAATCCAGAAATTCTGGACCAGTCAAATAAAAGTCCTTAATGTATAAAAATTCAAACCCCAGAAACCACCATCATCAAGCGAGTTTGCCTCACACAGCAAGATGCAATGGGGGAATGCATTGCAAAAATTTTGACCCTATGCAAAAAATTGATAATTAGAATACTCTGAAAAAACATAATAAAAAGAAATGATCAAAACCTTTTTCAAGCACCCAAGTCCGTTGCATAAAATAACGCTCATAGTAAAAAGTCAAAATTTGTCATGACAACTGCAAAACAGCTCATATATCAGCTTGTAATATTAACAAGACGTACAAGTAATGCTAAGTCTCGACGCATCCACATTATCCATATTTTGTTGCATATTAAAATGTATCTGTCACTGAGATGAACAACTAAATACCAGGACCAAGAAATGCCCTCATCAAAAATCCACGTTCAATTGCCACGGTTAATCAATAGGAACCTCAACTTCCATTTTCAAACCTGAGTTGCCAAGAATCTGAAGGAAAAAAGCATGGATGTCGATCAGTAATGCATTTTTCAAATAAAAGATGGCAATGACGCAGTGAAAAGTAACAAATATCAAGAACAAAAGACCCCCTTTATCAGAAAGTGCACAAGCCTAGTCCAACACGGTTATAACACCAGACTCTAGAACAGTGCTCATTGAAATAAATAAAACAGCAACAATAAACAAGCATTCATGACTATACAAGTGTGACCAGAAGACCATCATGATCGGAATAATATCATACCCATTGACTTGATAAAAAACAATTTTTATGATTATTATAACATTGGCTTCGGGCAAAAAAAAGAGTAGATGGAATTGACAGTAAAAGTAGGTCACTGTTGCCTTCAACTTCAAGCCACTGCAACCAAGTATATAGGTGCCATCATCAAGACAAATGAACATACTAATTAAATGATGATCATGAGAAATCATCAAGAATAGAACTTCAACCTCATTTTTATTTAATCTTCGACAAGAAAGAGCATGGTAGCTTGCAGAAAAACAAGAAAATAATTGAATGAAAGATTAGAGAAGAGAAGCTCACTAGATCAAAGATTAAAATACCAAAAGTCATATATAAATTTCTGAAACTAGAAAAACAAGAAAACAAAAGCAAATCAACTGTCTCTGCCTAGCCTATTAAAGTGCTGATCAATTATAACTCACAACAAAGGTAGTGAAAATTTTCATCACTGCAACTCATGTTATTTTTCAGATGTTTTGATACCTTCATGAAGTCAGCCAAGACCAACAATGAATCCTTTTTATAGCCTGCTTCCTCGAGGACTTGTGCTAGAACTTGCTGTATCAGGTACAATGGAAACATAATACAGAATAGGCTGTTAGCAGCAATTACGGAAATTAACAGGACCTATTTCATTTCTTTAGAAACATGCAATATTTTCTATCTCTTTCTTAAAAGACTATACTTGTTATAAGTACAAGTTCAAAGCGTGAGCCCATCTAGCCCGTTGGGAGGGAGAGTCCCACGAACTGATAAACCTCACTTTTCTTATAAGGCTTTCCCATGGTGTACCAATGTTGTGTGCATAAATCCAAACAAAGAGCTCATCTCAAAAAACTAGCTTATTAGAAAGGAGAGATCTATGAATTTGTACGCCCACTTCTCCCGTGAGGCTCCTAATACGGGACTAACATATACACAGTCATTTACTGTGGAGGATCTGGACTCATGCAGATAGCTGAATCACTTTACATGAAAATTTTATTTGGTTAGAAATGCATTTACTTTTCATCATGTTAAAGGACACAAACATGTTACATGCAAGTTATGAAATACTCCTTCTCTTTCATTAGAATAAAGAAGATTAAAAAGCTCTTTTGCTCTTATTAATTAAATGTAAAAGTTATGAGTAAAAAACCTTAGATGTAAAAGTTGAGAGCCTCGGAAAGGTGACCTTCTTTCGTCCAAAGTTTCACCACATCTCTTCAAGTTTCTTGCTGTCTGTTGCTTACAGTTTCAGCTTTAGATAGAAATATCTGTCCGTATTTTGATCCCTACCATTCAGATGATGATTTATCAAGCTGTTCCCTTAAATAACAAATTTCAAGTGAACCGTTGCCCTTTTCGTTCTATTGGATAAATTATAAGCCCATGAACCATGCATAAACAAATAAAGTATCCATATTTCTGAGATTAAGAATTACGAACTAGATACAAAAGGTCTATTTCCTTCTTACATTAGAAAACCATACGAAGCAGAGGAGGAAAACAGAATTTTGTTTAGTGGGAGACTCCCAGTAATATCTCACCTCTCTCTGGTGTTCAGATATAAACTGTCCTGTCAAATCTCGTAGAACGTCCAACATGTCATTGAAGCTCACTTTTCCATTGCAGTCTGTGTCATATACCTTGAAAATAACTACAAAACGAACAGCATCCACAAAAAAGATTTCAGCAGTCAGCAAATTAATTTGGGGAAAAAGAATTACACATCGGGCAACCGAGAAAGATTCACTACATTCAATTTTATGCTGTAAAGTCGCACGAGGACTAAACGCAGATAAGAACGCTACAAATTCTTTGAAGTTCAAACCATCCAACAGCCTCAACAATCTCTGCCACATCACAAGATCAATGAGTTACCAGAATGCACGGAAGGAAAAAATCAATACACGCACAGGAAAACTAACCACTCGCTTCTCATAACATGAGAAAGGAAAATACAGATAGAGAAAAACCTGAGAGAGAGGATTGACGGCGAATTCGGGTAGGGACAAAAATTCATCAGCTGTAATAAAACCGGAGCTATTACGATCTAGCTGACAGAATCTCTCGTACAGGGAAACGATCTCCTGCTGTGTAACTAGAAAAAAAAAGAAGAAGGGGAAATTGAAACGAATTAAAAGCCCAGAAAGTGAAAGAAATGAGTGAAACTCAAAGGAATCGTCGATTGAAGGGAATGCGGGATTACAAGTGTAGTTACAGTGTTGCTGGACCTCCTCGATGTCGTATTGCGTGAGCATAGAGGAAGTGTTGCCCATGGTGGTGAAGATCAGAGATCAATGGAACGTAGGAAGGATCCTAACTACGTTTCGTGGGGCAAAGGGGAAAGCTGCGAGTCAAAGAGAGTCAGTCAGCTGAATTGCTGAAAGAGAGAGGCTAAAGAACTGCAGAGGCACGCACGGGCACGGTGGCAATCAACGAAATTCGCAGCAGGGACTTTTTTTTTTTTGGGGAAATAAATTAAAATTTGTTAAAACGCGAAAAATAAAAGAAATAAATAAAAACAACTTCAAATATCCATGTACACATCATACGAGGATTGAAACTAATAATCTCATATTTTAAAAAACCTTAATGAAAAATGGCTGCTTTCTTAGTTTTTGTGTTAGAAGTGGAGTTTTTATATAGTAATTTTTTGTGTGACATATTACTCTGCTACTAAATATAAAAGCTCCGCTACTAAAAATAAAAACTAATTAGAAATTTAATATAATCATAGATATAAAATTTCAATTCACTTGAAGTAATCTATACGATAATTGCATAGTTTTATCAAAAGATAATTTAAATGTATATGATTAATAAATGTATTCTAATTAAATAATTTTTTTAATATTTATAAAGCAGTTATTTGTTTTTATATACTAAGCTACCGAATATAAATTTCAATATTTGCAGGAAATGCGTCCCCGCAAGTCCACAGCCAAACAGGCAAACAATTCAGCTGGTGAAAAACCAGTCGAGAGCAGTGACTGGTTACACACCTAACTGGAATCTGACTGTGCCAAATTCAAAGCATTAAATAAAATGGCTATGCTTTCACTGTTTCCATTGTTATTTGGTATTTTATTTTTCAAGCATGTCTCTTTCGAATTCTTTTTCTTCCATTCTTCTGTGGATTGCAGAATCAGCTCGTCACCAAAGAAACAGAGGCCCCAGAAGCGGAGAAGATGGTATTCCTGTTACTTTTCTCTTTTACTTTCCTTGGAATTACAGTTCTTAACCCAGACGACGATGTTGGAGGCTGCTATGGCTATATCTATCAAATCCATGACTTAGGTGCATTTGATAATACTTGAACCATTTGTTGGGAAAAATGCACGAGGTTTTCTGAAAGTGGAAATTGATTTTAGTCGTCCAAATATATTAAAGCTCGGATTATCTGGAAGTTAGAGGTTTATTTATTGGTAGGAAGGCATTGTTGTTGGAATGAAACTACGGAAACTTGTAATGAAAATGTGAAATATGACATCAATTGACAGTTAGGAACTCAGATGCATTTTGTATGATAGCAATGGAAGTGTATAGAAGGAAACTGATTGCAATAATTATGGACGTTGAAGATTTGTGTGAAAAACGTACTTCTTTTTCATAGTAGTCGCTCGGGAAATGAGAAGAATAAAAATTTTAGGAAAGGAACAAGCAATGTATCTAATTTTGCGATTTTTTCAGAGCAGAAGGAGGAAAGATTAGATGTGGCCGTGTTAATATCTTTTCACCAAAGCAACAGGATGTAGCTTTGAGGAATGTTTTAGAATTTATAGCTGTACTGGGTATGAATGGCTTTCATTTTCCTAAGTTGAGTCAGACGTCATGAATATGCTACACCTTGCTGATATTTTGTCTTTATATCATGATTATCTTAATATATCAATTTCTGGAGGTATCATGCCATGTTACATTCTAAAGCTGCAATATTCTGAGCTAAGGATAAGCATTATATACTTCTTGTTATATATTATCACAACATTTTGAGTGATTCATACTGGGATTGTGTGATTGCGTGACAGGATATGTACATTCGTGTTAAGCGCAGCAAGTCAACATACTTTATCCGGTGCAAGCCATCTGATAAGATAATTGGAATAAAGCAGAAGTTGGAGGAGATCATTGATCAACCTGTCAGTGATCAGCGATTTGTTCTACCAGGTACAGGGGAAATATTAGAGCACATTAAGACACTTGCAGATCAAAAGGTAGTGTTGCATCATCAATTTGTGATTTTTGTTCTGTATGTTTCTTGAAAATACTAGCATTGAGGACATGGAAATGTCGAACTCTATCTGGTACTTTTCATTGAAACTATTTTTATTGATTCAGCACTATAAATTTAACATCTTCATTACATGAATTACACCATTGCATCATACTTGTTGGCACTTTCCCATTTATATGTCATTCAGGTCGATAGTGATGCTGTGGTGGCGCTGACACTTAGAAAAGTTGTGTATTCTATTTGTTTTCTTCCTGTATTCTCCTACTCAAACAAAAGCTGTATGTATTTCGTTTGTTAAAAGCCCTGTTGAGAAACTGAAGTTAACTAATGGGCGAGTGCTATTAACCTATGAAATGAGAATGAAGCGAGAAGGGTGTGTAATAGGGCCTGAAGCTGCGTTATCTTCCTGACGAGATGGCCATGGAGGAAGAAGAGGTGGCCATGGAAGATGGTCGTAGTGCTCGCAACTGACTGTCTCTTTGGATGAGAGGTGGAGAGCAGGTTGTTAATCCGAAATATGCAAGTCTGGAATATACAAGGTTGTGGATTAGAAACTAGTTAAAGAAAAACAGGAGAATTACAGTGAAATTCCAAGTAAGAAAAATAATTACAAAACAAATCCCAGAGGTTGTCATTTTCTATTTTGGAACTTATCATCAAAAGCTGCTTAAGTTGTTATTGAGACTTTTTAATAATTATTTTCCTTACTTGGGACCTTATTATAATTCTTCCAAGAAAAATTTGGTTGCTTTTGGAAAAGTCTCTAGCCACTTGAATGCTAGGGGAGGGTTTTTTCCTTCTTCATTTTCATTTCTTTTGTAAACCCCAAAATACGTTAATTCCCCTCATTGTCTACTGAAGCCAGCATGTCTGTTGAGCAACGGGCGGGTTGGGCATTCCGTGCCTTAACCCGTAGCCCGCCCGTTTAAAGTTACATGGGTACGGGTTGGCCTGTACCCGTAATAAACCCGTTATAAACGAGTCTGAAAATAAATGGGCGGGTTAAATGGGTTATAGATAACCCGTTATGTTCAACTTAAAGTTCACCTAATCAACCACACAATTTCTAGAAGAGCATCACCAATAGCTTATCATCATTTTTAAAGCCAAATTTTCAAAGTCAACGCCAAATTTCATAGGAAAATCACAATAACAAGAAGGGCATAACAATTTGGAAAATGTAGATGATAGATCAAGGAAGATGAAGAAGGATGAAAGACGGCAGAAAAATTTCACAGCAAAAATCACAACATCCTTAGATATAGGCACAACCGCATAAGTGCCCGTTTGGATTAGCAGTGAACAACTGTGATTTTAGATAATCGTGAATTTTATAAGTGATACTGGCTATAAGTGATACTGGTTAATCGTGATTTCTGTTTGGATATTTTTTTAAAAAAGTGATTTTAAGAATTGTGATTATGTTGGTTTTTATTTATTAAAATCACTTATGGGTGTATAATTACTAAAAAGGACATGAAGTTAATAAAGTTGTTACATTTTCATAATTATTATATTTAATAATAAATTTTATTAAATATAATTTAATAAATGACATGAATATTTAAATATTATTTTTATTTTAAAATTATTATTATTTAAAATCACTTACAAAATTTATGTGTAGTACAAATATTAAATAAAAGACCCCATATAAATAAAAGATGAACGAAAATATTAAAAAAAATTTGATTAGCAATTTTAGTAACATAGATAAGGAAATTGAATCTTCAATCAAAATTATAACTAAGAAATAAAATTTAAAAGAAAAACAGTTTCATATTGTATGTTTTTTTTAAAAAAATTAAAATAATTACCATTAGAATGAGGGGTAGATTGGAGAAAATTTAGTTACTGAAAATTCATCGGGATTTTTCAAACGCATAAGCTATCTTTTGTTGCTTATCCTAAAAGTGCGGTGAGAGTTAAAATCACGATTATCGGGATTCTATAAAAATTATCCAAACACCCTAACCATGCTTCATAAGCACTTATTTGAATTTAAACGGGTTTATTTGAGATCCCACCACTTAACCAAACAGGCTCTAAATTTAAAATGAGTGAGCCAGTCCAAGACTCACGATGCAGATGCACGGTGGAGAGCAGTGAGCAGATCAGCAGAGGGAAGCAAAGTCACGGACGTAGAGAGAAGAGGCGAGGAGAGTGACACCACGATGAAGTCATGAGAGTGGCTGATTAGTTGTCGTCACCGTCAGGTGCTCGAGATCAGAGGACAAGGGCTGAGGTGGTTTAGCAATGGTGGAGAAAGAGATTTGGTAATGGCGATGTGAGAGAGGAAAGAAATAAGAGAGAAGTAGGTAGAGGAGGAAGGCAACGGAAAAAAAAACAAAGGTGGAAAGGATTAGAGGAAGGGAGAAAATCAGAAAAATGGCGATCTCGGAGGAGAAGGACGGAAGGGGGGAAAGACAGCGATATGGAAGTGAGAGGGTTTTTTTTCTCCCCGAATCTGAGTTATGAAACTTAAATGGCATATAAAAATTAATAAAATATTCAAAACCTTTGTGTAGGTGCTGGCGGGGAATCGAACCTGGGAGCGAGTGAAAGTAATACACAAGCCACTTTTGCCACTGAACCAAAGCAATTGTTGTTGAATGAGGAAGAAAACTATTTTATTATAATAAAATTTATACATTAAAAAATAAAAAAAAATATACGGGCGGGCACGGGCAGCCCTGGGGTGTGCCCGTAGCCTGCCCGTTTATTCTATTAGCCCGCCCATTTTATAAGCTTTTTGGGCGGGTCTAAACAGGTAAAATTTCATCGGGCTATGGGCAGGTATAGCGGGTTACGAGTTCTTTGCTCAACCCTATCTGTTGTTTTGCCTTTTTCCAGCACTGACTGCCACAAAGATGAAAATGATGCTTTTCCAATCTAAATAATGTTTTGGCCACGCCAAAAAAAAAAAATCTAAATAATGTTCACATTCTGTTCTTGACTGAGTTTAATTACATGCATGATCTTTTTATACAACTGCACTTTTAAACCGTTGTCTAAGTACTAATTGACATTTTCAGGGAAATTTTCTGAATTGATTCTTTACTCCTTTGATGATAGCATCTCCCATCACTTGTGCTCACGTATTCATATTCAACTTAGCTGAGATTCACATTTATAGTTTTAAATGAACTTCACAAGCAAGCAGCAGGCGTTAACATAAAGATTTTCTACTCTACTCTCTTTATGTTGGACGGGAAGTGTTATGAAGTTTAACTTCATTATATTTGCCAGAATATAACATTCAACTTTTTATATGTTCAAAAGCCTCAGGAATTATTCTTTTTGCTTTTCTAGAACAATATAACGAAAAATTGTTCCATCTGTCATTCTGCTGTTATCAGATGTTAATGAGTTTGAGGAGGTCAACATTGTTGGGCCAAACGATTTCTACCAGTCCCGGGATGCAGATGATGCCAATTGGTGAAAACTGAAAAGCCATATTGCAACTAAGGCTTGCTCATGCCAGTTGGCATCATTGGGTTCATTTTCTGCTGCGCAAAACAGTGGACCTAGTTTAGAAAAGTTTAAAGTTTTGGATGAGTGTAAAGTGTTTGTAAAAGGCTGACAATTATTATCTGAGAAGAGACTCTGGACTCGGGGCCTTGATTATACCAGGGATTGTCCTTTTGCCAAATCTCAGTCCAAAGAATTTATAATGCTTGCTCAATTTCTCTCTGTCTATTATGACTTGATTACAAGAGGAATACTCCCTTTGTCCCCTGTTGTCCCCTGTTATAGGATCTAAAGTTTCAAAACCCTCCGCCCCTTTTTATTAATGTGTAACAAATTTTGGGGAAGAAACCAGCCAAACAGAGACAAAAAATGTGAAACCATGATTTGGGGTCAAACCATGGTTTTGAACCCCAAAACCATGGTTTCGGCAGAAGTGGTTTGAAGTTGCTTCTGGCTCAAATTTTCCAGACATTGGTATGGACCCAACAGCATATGACAAAGCAGCCCTCATAATTGATACCTCACTCTTCATTCCACACTCGGTTCTTCACTATTTAATCTTGTGATTTATAAATATATATACACATATTAATTATTTATTAGTTATATTATCTTATATATTATTAATTATGTTAGTAAAAATTATTTTATTAACAATTTTATTTCTTCAAATCAAAATATATTATAAAATCTATCCCTAATATAATTATAATATTAATTTATACCCTTTTTAGTAATTTACACATATAAAAAGTGATTCTGGTAATAACTATCCAAACACTCTCACTTCTCAAAATCACTTTTTCATAAAATCTATTCTCTTCAGAATCTATTTTCTCCAGAATCTATTTTCCAGAAGCTATTCTCCAAACCATGGTTTGGTTTTATCCAAACACACCCTAAATCTATTTTGGAGTACCTGAATATTAAATACATTTTTATCAATTTTATTTCCTAATTAATTTCCTCCCTAAATTCTCCATTTCTTTTTTCGTTTTTACTCCCTTTTATTTACTCATGTATAAATATGGACATATTTAGGGGGAAAAATACATTTCTGATATGTTTATTACTTTTAAATAATTTTGTTATTTAACATTTTTCTTAAACCGCACAATTTTATTAATTACATTCTATTATTTATTAGGGAGAATCTCATTTAAATCCAATTAAAAGATTAAAATTTAAAATCAAGCCTTCATTTTAAATAAATTCCTAATTAGACCAAGAGGCCTAGTTAGATCTTTATGAATATTATTTAAAGATTAAAATGTCCCTTTATAATTAAAATATGAGCTGTTATTTTTATATTTTACTCCCTTACAAGTTCTTCTCCTAAAATATGAAAATAATAAATTATAACACCATCCTCAATCCAAAATTTATAAAACATTCATTATCAGAATAAGTTTTCCACTCTTAAAATATACTTGTGTTCTATTAAAAATAATGTACGTGTATAATTAAAAACATGTATGTTTATGCATATATTATTAAGTGGATCAATATTAAAACTAAAAAAAAATTAAACCCCTCCAAAATTAAAATCTATCAGTGACCTACAGTATTAAATTGATGATAGTGTTGGAGTAATTATTAATGTGAATCAAAGACTATGCTGTGATTTTCTGTCATCTACTTAGGATTCACTGTTTTCAAATTTCAAGAAAATACAGCAAAAAAAATTTCAGGAAAAAAAATTTGTAAGGAAAAAAAACATAAAGGTAACAATTGGTACCATAATCATAGAGGGATATTCTAGACTTTTAACAATATTTATAAATCTATATTAGGCCTCTTGGCCTGATTAGGGATTTATTCAAAATGTAAGCTAACTTTAAATTTTAGTAGTTTAATTGGATTTAAATAGGATTCTCCCTATTTATTATAGCATTACGTGAATAGAATGGTTTGCTTGATTTATCTGCTCTTAAATCTTAATAGAATACAATGAAATAATTGCTTGATTTGAACTAAGAATTTCTCCGCACAATACCATTTCTACGAACAGTTATATGGATGACAAATAAGCTCTAAATTTAATCAAGTAGTTCGAGATTTTTAGTTAAACACTCGCAATATATAAAAGATTAATAAATCGAACAAGATAGGTATAATAAACTGATTAAGAGTATATTTGTAATCATGAGGAAGCTCAGTTTTAGTTAAAACTGGAGACATTAATCTATAATTGTGCTATATATATATATATATATATTAATGAACAAATTTATCTTGCCTCCATTTCTTCGCCATGAGATGACCTTGACATGATCTTAACCAATTACTTAGAGGGAGTTTGATATACTAAAAAAAACACTTAAAAAAGTACTTTATATAAGTTGAGACAAAATTCTTCTAACATATCTACCTCGTACTTCATAAAAATCATTTCTAAAATGCTACTCATGGATATTTGTTTCAGGTGACATAAAAGGGTTTCAAAGTGTTACAATTTATGATTCAATTCTCACATCCTCCTTATCTTCTCCGAATCTTCCAAGTTCCATTAATTAATTGAATTGATCCATCAATTTGTACTTCGTATTTTGGCATCCACAACTTCAGACAGGACCTGAAACCATGGACATTGTTTCAGGTGATATAAACTTAATTGTTGTATGATTTTGTAGACATAAAAGATATCAGATTTGACAACCATAAAATAATACAAGATAGAAACATCTAATTTTGTACAAATAATAATAATGAGAATCATCTTGGTTAATTTCAAGCCAAAGGGCATCCAAAGCAAAGCCAATGAATCATCCTAGGTTCAAGACAAAACAATAAAGGTGACAATCATGAACAATATATATATATATATATATATATATATTCAAGAAACTGGCATGTTGGAGCAATAATAAGGAACTTTTCTACTATTTAAAACTTCGGTAAATTCTAAATTCAAGTCTTACGTACGAAAGTTATCAAAGTTATGTCACAAACGGATAGTGTGTGCATGTGGGATCATCATTGAGGGAAACAACATCAACTTGATTATTAAAATCTTTTGAATTTTTAAATAGTTTTAAAAGATTGCGTTTGATTCTGGGCATATGATGAACACCTTCTTCATAAGCTTTACCAATTATTATAATATTCATCATGCATGTGTATTTAGGTTGAGAAAATTCGTTTTTTTCTTTCTTTAGAACTTAGATTTCTTCTCTCTCAATGACAATATAGGGTAAAATGTGACGAATGGGTATATGAATCTCTTTTTTTGGGTAATAGGATATATGAATCTTTAGATTAACTTATTTTTAAGTTATTTTATTTATGTATGAGAGTATGAGACGAATATATATAAAAATAAATTGTCTCATAATATTCATCATACAAGAATTAGTCTAGTTGGTAAGGAGTCGGCTTATAGCCTATAAGATCATGAGTTTGAATCTTACTGCCAATGTGAAAACTTTGTTGGTAGGCGATCTGTAAGTACTTTTTGAATATGAAGGGATGTACTGACCTTGGTGAGTCCCTAGGTCGTTTATAAATAATGAATTCAAATTTCATTTTAAACATTTTTAAGGGATAAATTTATAAATATCTTTATGATTCATTATTTTATCTCCTCAGGCTTTTAATTTTCTATCCATCAAAAAATTGAGACAGAATTAAGAAGATTTAACCAAATCTTAAAAAAGGAGTATGCAAATGCAAACACATGTTGAGTATTCATTATCCATTTTTATTTTTGAAAATTATTTTAAATTTAATGAAATCCTCTTGTGGCATGGTTTTTAATTCCCACTTAATCCATCTAGCACATGTTATGCATGATATGGTTATCATTATTATTATATGTGAGGTTTGATTGAATCTTTTGAGTTGAAAATAAATGTATTGAAATATTTGTACTAAATAAACTAAACAGATTGAGATATTGGAAGAAATCAAAATATAGTATGTATTGTATTCATAAAATATAACTAATATAAATAGTATGACTAAAACTTAGTAAACATAAATGACATTTTAACAATCATCTTGGGGCAATAAAAGTGTGGCAGATATGTATAAGGCAAGTGAATCAAAATATATTTATAATTTTCTAGAAATTATTTTCTCACAAAAATTTTAATGAAACCCATCTCCCACTATCGTTGCCTTCATATCAAATTTTCTTATCTTTATTTTTAACTTTGACTGCTATTTGTTATTAATTAAGTTAAATTATATATATAAGGATAATTAATTGCTTTTCGGAAAACGTTGAGAGAGAAGAAAATATTTTAATTAAATAATTCATATGTGGAGCTTTTCGGCTAAAAGCATATGATCAAGCCTGTAAAGTTTATGGAAGCTGCAAAACAGTGAAATGAATGAATGGTAATAATCATTCTCCAATCCACAAATGTCTTCTTTTTCCCTCTTTTATTCTTTTCTCTTTAATTACTTATCGATCATTCAAAGTAAACTTCAGCATTTCGCCAACCCACAAGTTTCCCATTATTTTTCTAGAATTAGATGAGCTACCTCTATTATACGAAATTTTTAAAATAATAATAATAATAATAATAATAATAATATTATTATTATTATTATTATTATTATTATTATTATGCATGTAATCCAGAAATAATAATATTTGTTATAAGTTTTAAGGATGATTTCAATTAAATCCAGCTAAAATACAAAACCTCAGATTTAGGCCTATATTTTCAACAAAATTCTAATCAAGCTCAGATGACTAATTAGAGATTTTTGAATCTTGTAAATTTATCTGAATGTTCTTGAATGTTTACTACTAACCCTTCCTCTCTTCTCAATTGGGAATCTCTCTCCTCCCATCCTTCTCACTCACCCCAATCATCATTGCTCCTTTGTTTATATAATTAATCGTTACTCAGAGAATGATGAGTTCATATAACAAAAACCTAAAAGCTTAACTAAAATGGAAAAAAAATTAATGCGAATTGCTAACTGCGGTCAAATTCACCATCTCAGGAAAGCCAATGCCGATCAGTTCTAATGATTTCAAATTTTTGAGTCACCATGAGGCTCCATCCACGACAGTTCTTAATATTGGTGA